AGGATTTTACTGTAGCATTTTTACAGTCTTTTACCGTTAAATTCACGGTAATTTTTTACAGTGCACAGTGTGCCAAAGACAAGGACTAGGAGAGATGCAGGTAACGTAAACTTCACTTTTATTAAGTAAACACAAACTTGTATCAACAGAGGTATCTCCGTGGAAGCAATTGAGGTGAATGTGGCAGAGAGTGCATGAGAACAGTCTTATCTGAGACACCCGGTTTCCAGTCCACCGTCCTTTGAGCATACAAAGATCTTGGTGATAGGCAGAGCACAAGGTACAGGTTTGGGTGTGTTGTGTGTTGTGTGTTGTGTTTTTTTTGTTGTTTTTTTTGTTTTGTTTTTAGCAGCGCCAACGAGAAGGACATTGAAGGCGTAACCTTGAGACCAGCGGTGAGTGTGCTCTTATAGTGCGTGATAATGAGGTGCAGGTGCTCAGTACTCTGGTGATTGAGGGCGTGGCTGCGTGATTGATTCTCTGGCTGTGTGATTGATTCTGTGGCTGTAGATGGTGTCTCCGTGACAGTCACATCCTGTCAGTCACACTGTTTGTGCCCTGACACACACACACACACACAACACGTCTTCTGTCTCTCCTTTTTTACTGAAAACACAAATTCAAGCATCTCAAAAAAACCTCAAGCTCACCTTCCACACAAACACATCGTCCATAGGACGTTTCCTATCAGATGTCACATAGACGTTTATTAGATGCCTTTAAAGGCACAACAATATGTAAGATATTTGTAATAAAATATCCAAAAACTACTTGCACACTGTGGTATATTTCATGCAGTTGTGTATTTGTTATCCCAAAAGTTCCCAAGGATTTGTAAATCCAGAGAAATTATAATTTATGGCATGTCCCTGGTTATTGTCGCAGATCAATGATGTAATATCCGCACTATCGCTTGTAGAAACTAGTCAACACACGCACACAAATGCTGCTGTTCAGTTAAACTAAATCCATTACGGCTGTCGCAAATAAAATGAAAATTAAATGAAAAGTGTTGACCGCAGCATTAAATTTAGATCTGCTCAATGTTGCGCCATGATTTTTTAACGCATTTTTACAGCGTTGCGCATTATAACCAATCACACACGAGTCTGTTGAGTTCATGAATGCAATGGCCAATCAGAGGCAATCAGAGTTTTTGTTCACTGCATGCGCTCGCTGACTGGATTCTGCTCTCTGGCGAATTCTCTCATCATAATCAACAAAGTGCAGATGTACATATGATGTAAGTAAGAGATTCATTCATCAAACCGTGTATAGACAGCTTTACTGATTATAAGGGGAGTTTTTTGGGAGTGCTTAAACTCGCGCCAGAATTAAGTCAGTCATAATGTTCTTTGATAATGTAAATGTTCTTTGCTCCATTCTCTGTATAATTTATTCACTGTTTGAATAACTGTGGAAGGTACAGGTAAAAAAAAAAATCATTACCTCATCCATGAACATCCTCCTTCATAGCCTCATGAAGCTTCCCTTTGTTATTGTTTATGCGACCTCTAGTAGTGAAAACTTATATATTGTGCCTTTAAGATGTTTATGATTTAGAATGTATGTAAAACTGACATCTTAAAGACGTCTGTCAGATGTTTGTACACAGCAGATGCTTTTAGCGATCTTTAACAGACATCTTGCTATAGGTGTGCTATAGGGACACAAACGTCAGTTTTGCTTAAATTTGCTTTACATTTTATCAGTAGTATTAATAATGTTCGATTCGTTATTAGGCTACTACTACTGTTATTTATTTATCTATTTTTAAAATGAACAAAAACTATTTAAATCCACGCACAACTCAGCGAGTCTTCGAGGTCACCAGAGAGAAACTAGACGACGTAACCTAATCCAGACAGAAGCTGACTGTCAACACACACGCTTATCTAGTGCTTTGCTTTGAAACTTTAATAGACCTGATATAAGAGCAGGTGTTCACATGATACTTGTTTTTATAGGGGGCACTGCCTGATGAAATGCTTTTAATAGGTTTTTAATGGTGAGTTCCATTGTGACAACATGCCCTGCAACAAAAGTAATCATTCAATAAACTATTTCCTGGGCAATAACGGGGGAAGTCCAATATTTTAAAAAAGAAACCCACCTTGAGTAATATTGACTGCTTGCCCCAGACTCTTATACACAGCTTCTCAATCCTCCATCTCTTTTTCATTTTTTTTTGTTTATCAATAGCCACATATTACACCTTACCACTTGCATTTTTACAAGGAGATCAAAACATGTTTTCGCTGAACTGTTGATGTGAAATGGTGTCGAAACTTCACACTGTTCTTGAAGCGCGGGAAATCCACAAGAAGTTCATCACGCTGTCAACAATTTCAAGCACCAGAAACAGTTTGTGACTCAAGAAGTAGCCTGTATTCCAATTGAAAATAGAGTATCCTCAGTTTAACCCCTTAGTAAGACATTAAAAGTATTTAACAGATAACAATCTCGACACATCAAGTCAGTCATAAACTTGATCAGAAGATCAGTAACAAATAGTATGTTTATTTCTCACTAAATGGTCCAATATAGCTATAAACATTACTACAGCAATAAGCCACGAGTTATAATGCTTTAATCAGATTTATACAACTACAATAAACTTCCACCAGTTAATGCAGTATATTACCCTTAAGACTGATTATAGTTATCAAATTTAAACTATACAGCATTTTTGCAACAAATAATTTACATGTAGCTAATCCATTCAGATTTTGTCAATGGAATCATAGCATATTTTTATTGTACTTTTAACAATATATATCATATCTGATACTAACTATCATTTTGGCTAAATGAAAAAGTGTAAACATAATGCTAAATTACAGTAAGTAGCGTAAGTTTAAGATGAGGAGGCTATAACGTTAAAACAAATCAAAAAAAAAAAATAAGTAGGCCTAAAAATGGAAAACCACACACACATGTTGCCAAAATTTTGAGCAATGGTTCTTTGAAATGGTGCATTAGGTGCACCACTAACACAGATGCTAAACGCGTGTACTCAGTGTGTAGCCTAATCTTAGTGGTGTTTCTGTACAGCTGATAAGGCCGATGTGAATGTCCCCTCCAGATGATCACTCGCTGGGCTCGTGCACTCACGCTCTGTCATCGCACTTCTATATTTAGAATCATAAACTGAGCGGGAATGCCAGCGTTAAAATAAGGCAACATGTGCAAGCTAATAAACGATAGCTTGGCCAGAAACCGCAGTGGACTGGCCAGCACATACCCTTTACAGTCTTGGCAGACTCTCTTGGTTTTTAAAACCACCTGTTTTGTTACTCGGCGTCTGTGGGACATTACTCATTCTACATGATTTTTGTCTTAAAAGAGACATGCACATGGTCCATAATAAAGCTTGAATTTCACAAGTCTTGCTCTAAAGCCGCTTTTCCACTGCATGGTACGGTTCACTTTTGGGGGGTTTTCCACTGGGTACAGTACCTGGTACTTTTTTATGGCGCTTTTCCACTGCATGGTACGGCTCGGTACGGCACGGCACGGCACGGCACGGCTCGGCTCGGTTTGCGTTTCCACTGCAGTTTAGTACCGCTTTAGAGTGGGTGGCATTATTCACATGTCGTTATAGTTGCGCCGCCTCTACTGCCGTCTGATCATCGTAAACCTGCCACAAACTAACACACAACAATGGAGCATATCGATGGAATGGTGTTCTTCATTCTCGGCATGTGGATGTTTTTAACTGCAAGACGAATGAGTCTGTTTCAAAAGAGGCTGATGGCAGCCAAACAAAACAGCTAAAAAATACAATATGACAACACTTGGTTTGCTCGACGGCGTGCAAGGGTAAGCATCTAAAAGCACATAACTAGCTAACTTTTATCTCTGTCGCAAAGCAAATAATGAACTTAACTGCCAGTATAACATATTAAAATGCGTATTACAGAGCTTCCACATTTCGCAAAATTAAAGTCGCCGCAACAGACCATCTGTTTGGACATTTAACCGAGCTTCAGAGTGGTGGGATGTGATTGTTGCCGCTTTTCCACTGCGTGGTACGACTCGGCTCGGTTCGGCTCGGTTTGCGTTTCCACTGCAGTTCCGCTGCTCTCGCTGGATCCGCTCCTCTGCTATCAACAACAGCCACTTTTTGGTTGTTAAAAAAAGGTGCGCTCGTTCAAAACAGTTGCTTAAAGTCGCCGCAACAGACCATCTGTTTGGACATTTAACCGAGCTTCAGAGTGGTGGGATGTGATTGTTGCCGCTTTTCCACTGCGTGGTACGACTCGGCTCGGTTCGGCTCGGTTTGCGTTTCCACTGCAGTTCCGCTGCTCTCGCTGGATCCGCTCCTCTGCTATCAACAACAGCCACTTTTTGGTTGTTAAAAAAAGGTGCGCTCGTTCAAAACAGTTGCGTTCGATCCTTCGCTGGCTGTGCTGATTTAAATCTAGCGGATCTGTTTGTGTCTCATGTCGCAAGTTCAGTGACGCAGGTAGTGACGATTTGCTCCGGCCAGTCCGTGATCAGCAGAGTTTACACGCCGGGACACAAACTTCCGCGTGTGTGTTCCTCTAAAGAAAAGAGTACACATCGCACTGTGGAAGCTTGCAACATGCGCTGAGTACAGAAGTGTTGGACATCTTTTTGGTGTAAGCATAACAACTGTGATGCGTTACTTGAATAGTTAACTATTCATGTAGCCTGTTCTGTAAAGTGAATTTTCAATAAACTTTTGTATCATTATGGCATTAATCATTTGTCTTTATCAAGAGGTACATTACCTGCTCATAAAATATGAAATATTTAATATAGTAAGGAGGTACACTTATTTGATAGTTTTTATTTAAGCAAAAACACAAATACAAAGGTAAAAATATAAACCGAAAACCTACTCTAAAAATATACAAAAAGTATATACACAAGGCAAAGATAGTTTAAATTACAATATAAAAAGCTAATTTTAAACAATGTGTACCTTGTGCAAGAACTGTAAACAATTGTCTGATATACATGAAATAGGAATCGACGGTCAATACAGTCAGTACAGTTAAGCTTTCAAGCGTTAGACTTTATTTAACATAACACAGCGTACCATCCTCGATCGTGTTCTCCAACAGCGGCGTGGCCGAGTCCAGGGCACCCTCCCTCTCTGGTACTAGGTGGTAACACATCAAATATCACACATGTTGTTCTCCTCAGTGTACGGAGCTAAAAACAACAACATTAACATAACGAACAATAACGTTTCTTAAGTACAAACAACCTTCCAAGTACATTTTTGAAATGGATATCAACAAACTTATAAATAAACAACTTACCGTCAACATTCAAAGAAGCTGTCTTTCACTCAAGTCAGACATACAGTACAGTAAACACACAAACAAAACTTATTTTAGCAAGCAGCAACAACACTTCATCTGGGAAAATGTCAATTAAATGAACGCAAATTTAAAGCTATGATATACTTGAGTCTCAAAAATTAAAACTATACACAAACATCTCAAATATAACCTGAACATTCAAGGTTATTACTTCTGTAGGCTACAGTGAGGAACTGTGCAGGAGCAACAACTTTGAATGAACAAAGAATAACAACATGCAAACAGAGAGGACATCCAGGCACATGCACACGGTCCACACGCCCTGTTCATGCTCTCTAAGGCTGCTGGGAAGTTCTTGTAACAGCACTTCTGTTTATAGATGTTTTCAAACTAGCCTAGAACTTGATGCTTGTCCTTGACCCGGTGTTTGGGTGCAGACACACATGCAGGCCCCGTATAAGGCACTATACTGTGCCTCTTTTAGGGAAGTGGGAGTCCAGAATTCAAAGATAACCTAAACGTGGCTATAGCTCTTTTTTTTTAATAAATATGAATAATAACAAATGAAATAATAATAAATAATATATTTTGGTGGTTAAACTTTTTAATGTATAATTTTGTTTATTTTTATTTATTATTATTTTGATTGAATTAATTTATAATTCAATAAAAACATATTTTTTGTTAATTATTATTTGTTAAGCTCTGTAATTATTTCTTAACGGTTTTTAACGGTAAGTACCAATAATAAATAAATTAATTAATTAACTAATTTATTTATTTATTATTGGTACTTACCGTTAAAAACCGTTAAAAATATTCTTTATATATATTTTATATAATATATATATAATTTATATTATTTGTTAGTATTTGTATTTTTTTTAGAGAATAAAGTCGTTAACATTTTGAGAGAATATCGTTACATTTTAAGAAAAATGTTGAATTAAAACGCATATAAACACTCTTTTCAGGTTCATTTCTTCTCGGAGAGTGTCAAACAGACGCTATTTACACAAGTGTGTTTATTCTTCGCATTTTAACTAGATTTTTTTTCTCTCGAAATTTTACAACTTTTTTTCTCAAAATTTAACGACTTTTTCCTCGTAATTTAACAAGTTTATTCTCAACATTTTATTTAGACTTTTTTTCACGAAATTGAACAACTTTTTTTCTCGTGGCCTAATTTAACGAGTTTATTCTCAAATTTTTATTTCGGCTTTTTTCTCGAAATTTAATGACTTTAATCTCGAGATGGCTTCGTTTTTTTATTATTGCTTGGCCCTAATCCTCTTCCGTAGTCCTCTTCCTCAGACCGATCGGTGTATGACATTAAAATACCTCGAGAGCATTTTGAAAGCATAAGGAACCGTCTGTATGGTATTTTGATATCATACACCGATCGGTCTGCACAAGCAAACAAAGCCAAAACCTAGATATTTTAGGCAGTATAGAAATCCTGGCCAGGACGCGTCCTGGGAAAATGGCACGTATGGTCGCCCTAAGCAAGCGCTCACCTGACTTGAAATGCAAGTTAATTATAAATTTCATGTTTTCAAATAAATCGGGCGCGGTATGTTCAGACCCAAGATCTGAAAACAGCCTTCATACCAAACAAAGCCACTTAGTTGCATTTAATAACTCTCGAATTGTCCTGTAAATAAAAACAGTAGCTTGAATACAGTTTGTACGACCGACAAACCGAAGTCAAGCCTCTTTTTTCAGGTCGTTCCTGTAAACACAAGCCGTGCTCCCTACGGCATGTGCAGGACCGAGTGTGTCAGATCTATTTATACACAGAGGATAGACTCAGAGTGAGTCAGAGAAAAATCCCCCGTCTCTGTCTCACGCTCCTCGCACAAATCTTTCCGTCAGCACGGCTGCAGAAAAGCCGCTGAGCTTCTCAACAGAGTGTGACATCAGCGCGTCCAGTCAGGGACGATTAGAGACGGAGGGATGAGTGATGGATCAAGGGAAGGAAGCAAGTGCGGAGAGAATGAGCCAGACCGCAAACCCAGAGGGAGAAAAGCACCAGGGCTCAGGGCTCGCTCTAACGGAGTTATAAAATATGAGTTTTACCCACCACAGCTGGTTATATAAGAGCGAGGGAGACAAATATGTAGCCTATAGACCACACCCTTAGAATACCATGGTGTTACCATGGTGATTTATCCACCTTATTTTTAATGTATAAGAATGGGCGTGACCATTAACTTGAATGTGCGGGGCTTCCGGTGTCATTAGCTTCTAGTTGTTTTTGTTGTAAAAGCAGCCGGTTAAGCGACTTAAAGGTGCAATAGGTGATTGTCTTCAGAAACATTTTTTGTTATGCTGGTTGAAAGTCTCTTCACATCCCGATAGCAATCATTAAGTTAAGTGGTCTAAATGTATTTATCTGTATTTATATATTCTGTGGAAGGCGTAGGACCAAGAAATGTGTGTCCAATCAAAACGCTTGGTCCGAGCGTTTTAATTGGCTTTCCTACCTGCCTGTCAACATATGTATTTGCATACCTCTGCCCACCCTGTTCGCACAGAGAGGATACGTTATCGGCGCGTTCACGCATGCTGTGAAGACAGAGCGAGAATGGCAGACAAACATCAACAACCCAATCTTCCTTCCTGATATTGTAGTACTTTTACTAACTGGTACTATAAAGTTTTCTCACTGGTGAATGACACATGATGTAGAATTCGGACTTTTTTTTCTCAGAATTGTGGGATATAAACTCGCAATTGTGAGTCATAGTCCAATTTTGAATGGAAAAAAAGACTGATATGTTCTCATAATTGCAAGTTTATATCTCACAATTCAGAATTTTTTTTCTCAGAATTGTGGGATATAAACTCGCAATTGTGAGTCATAGTCCAATTTTGAATGGAAAAAAAGACTGATATGTTCTCATAATTGCAAGTTTATATCTCACAATTCTGACTTAACTCGCAATTGCATCTTATAAAGTCAGAATTGCAAGATATAAACTCGCAATTCTGAGAAAAAAGTCAACATTTTGAGATATAAAATCACAATTCTGAGGAAAGAAGTCTTGCGAGTTTAAATCTCACAATTTCGACTTTATAACTCACAATTGCGAGTTTATATCATGCAATTCTGACTTTATTATTTATCACCCTAAACCCTAGTACAACTTATTTTAATTTATTCTATTCCTATTCCATCTATACCACACCTGTACATACAATTTATTCTTTTTTTGTGGTTTATATTTATGCATGTGTATTTTATTTTATTCACATCTCATTTTTATTATCTGTGTGTTGTTGTTGTCTCCGTGTACTGGAAGCTTGTGACACTATAACAAATTCATTGTATGTGCAAACATACTTGGCAATAAAGCTCTTTCTGATTCTGATTATTTCTCAGAATTACAAGTTTATATCATGCAATTATGACTTTATTTCTCAGAATTACATGTTTATATCTCGCAATTCTGACTTTATAACTTGCAATTGCAGAATTGTGAGAAGAAAGTCAGAATTGTGAGGTAAATAGTCTCAAATTTCTTATTTAATTTTTTTAGTCAGTGGTGGAAACAGGCTTCC